TGAAAAACAAAAATTACTTGTATTCCAATTAATTTTGACTCCTGTGCAGGCTGTTCGAGCTGTCCCAATCATGGGTATTGAAACCCGAATTTCCAGAGAATACCATTGAGGTAGGGCACGTATGAGCTACTAAAAATACATAACTCGTATTTTAAAAGCAAAAAAAAGTTTTCAATAAAATAAAACTGAAGCATTAAGTCTCGTATCAAGAAAGGAATAAAAAAATCGATGTAAACGTTAATCTAACAAATAAAACATTAGATTTTAAAACTGGTCCTTTTTTGATAAATATCTGCTTTAATGCGATATATCGTTTAGTTTACTGAAATCATCTTCGGATTAGTTTTTGCCTGTCAGTTTCAGTCGGTTGTGAAATAGGGAGATTGTTTTAAGAGAACGCCTGAAGTTTGTCGACCGTTGAAGGTTATTTTAAAAATGACTGTAATTACTTTAAAAAATACCGATATAATTACTGATACGTTTGCTGGTTCTATAACTTAGAGCACGGAAAGCCTTATGGCCAGTTTAACCTTCACGGTTGTTTAATGAGATCTACAAGTCTACGTTAGTAAATTAATATATACATGTATACTAGATGTAACTACAGTTACTTTCATAACACAAACATTTCCATAACATGAGCATGAAAGTTTTATTTCTATGCAAAACAGTGAAGTTTGCTTGTTAATATCGACTTTAACGTTTTGAAAAAGGCCTCAATATTTGTTTAGAATCTTTCGACTAAGATCTTGAGTTTATTTTAAACGGCTACAAACGAGCTATTTGTAACTTCGTATGTTTGTTTAAATTGTGACTAACGTGTGCGGGTACTATGTTTGTTTAAAATACCGAATACAATTTTATTATTTTTTTTTAGAACTTTCGGCGTAAAGCATTTTAAGTGCTTGTTCCTAATAACTTTAAAATATTGTCTTTCTACGCAAATATTCGGTATTCATTTAACTATGGAAATTAGGCAATTTTTTTTAATTAACGATATAAAAAATGTATTAATTTCCTTAACTTTCCGGGTACTTCTGGTTGCACGTGTTTTTTTTTTTTTTTTTTTCCAC